TTCTGAATCTTTCATTCGGAATCAGCATTCAGGAGAGCAGAAGTGTGCATCTGATTCACAAGCCCTAGGGTGTGTGCACGATTGCACCATCCAGCTGGAGAGATGAATAATTCAGAGTCAGTAACAGGCCTGAAAGCAGCGAAAACTTAAGCAACAAATGGACGCGAATGGAGACAGCAGTTTGCGGGGACTCATTGCTAATCGTAGAAGAATCCGTGCAGGAACTGGATGACAGGACTGACCCAACGGGCAGCTTGGTGTACAGCAGGGGTTCACTCACACCTTCAACCAAACATCTGTCTGACTTGGTCTATTTCTCTGAAGACACAATGGTTTTGTTGCATCAAAATCGGGCGCATAATTTAACACAACTGCATTTTTTAAAAAGTTAATGCCAAGATATTAATATTACAATTGAATTAATATTTAAACACTCTGACTTTAGGTAAACACTTCTGAAGGTATACTGATATTCTTCAGTAATAATATTTCTTGTGTAGGAAAAGGTACAATGATGGGCAATTTGAAAGAAAAAAAATGGGAGTGGGCACCTTAATTAATGGAAGATTGCAGAAACTGGGAATGTTAAGAGACAAGACTGAGACAAGGTGATTGCGGACAATCTTAGGGTTGGGATTATGGGTTGTCTATAAACCACGCGGTCACTACACCTCACATAAAATATCCAGTGAAGCGGTTTAAGATGTTTCGACGACATCAAATGCAAGATTATTAATATTATAAGATGCCAGACACACAGCAGATCAATTAACTCTTTGGCAGCTAGCCCAAATCGATGAAATCTGTAGGGCCATAGGTCAGGAGTTAAGGATATGGATGTAAACCACAGTTTTATGCCATAGGACACCCCTGGTCACCACCTATTCAGTGCAGTCGGATAATACTCTGCCACTTCATTCGATCAAGGTTTGGGCTTCTTGATATTTATGCAGGGCTTCTCTTCTACTTGTGTCAGTGTTCATTTGAAAACAAACCCTTCCTCCCTGCCCCTGTACCTCGTACCTCTGTTCTTGATTTAAAAAATTAAGGCTGCTTATAAGTATAGTAATAATCCTTGCATTTGATATAGCGCCTTATCACGTCTTAGTGGCATTTCAAAGCGCTTCACAGAATATACTGTGAACCACAGTGTCCCACAAACAGTCGCGGATAGAGTCTCAACATTTTTATCATTTATTTGTTTTGGAGGGATTATAACCTCCGAAACGTGATCCGCCAATCAACTAAAAACCGGATTCCTACTTACTGCTCGGCAGACAGAGGCATGTTGAGTAAAGAAACTTGCTCAACATTTTGCCCTACCCAGGAATCGAACCCATTTCCTCTCGCTTGCGAGGCGAGAGGTCTAATCACTAAGCTACAGGGGTCCACTTAGATAAAGATAAAGCAAAGTCCTTAGCTCTGGTATGCTTGTATGGCTGGTGGAAACTGCAGGCTAAACAGTGGGAGGCTCAGGATATCAAGTTGAAAAGCAGCAGGTTTTGCCACTCACAAACCATGGTGTAGAGTAAAGAACCACCATCCACCATGAGATCACAGTGTTAACTCAATTGATTGTAAAATAAGAAATTGTTTAATATCAGTCACCACATGCACTGGCATTGACAATATTTCCCTGACCTATTGATTCCACTCGCTGAGTGACGAATGCAGAAATTAAAAGGTTTCCAAACACAATGCTGTGAAACAAGACTGGGTTGATTGAACAACTGTACTTTAAAAGCCTGCAACCCCTCGTTTAATAAGCTTAAAAAGGCTGGATTTCAAAATCGTTGTAAAATATCTATGGGACATCATTCTGTTCCATAGATTCCAGCTTGTTGCAAAATACTGGGGATTTTAAAATCAATTTAGTCAATGGAGATAAACAGCAACTTCATTCTCCACACTGATATTACTGCATATCCACGATGGGGCTGATCCCATTTTGTGTGGGTATCGGGTTCTCTGTATAATTGACTATTCTCCACTGAGTGATCACATGTCCCCGCAGGCTCAGCCATCTTTTCTTTCCATCATCGAAAACTATTCAACAACGTATCACTTGTTAAAACAGTCAGGAATGGCCTGAGATAAAAATTAACATTTTGAAATATGCACAGAAGAAAAATATCTCTGACAATGTCTGGAACCATTTCCCACCCACCGGCAATCAAGCACATAGTGCCGCCAATTCAAAAATCCCATCTCATTAAAGCCTAGGGAGCTTCTGTCACTGTGCCTTTTCAACCATGTAGATTAATCCAGCTCCCTTACATCAGGCTCAAGGAAAAAAATCCTTCCCCTCCACTCGACGGAAAGGTTATTTATGCATTATATTTAACAGTAGTCCCTATGGTCTGGAATCGCTCTTTAAGGACCAGTGGGTTTGAATGCTAAGCTCCGACTGTAATTTAAGCACCAGTCATACAGATGGGTTACCCTGCTGTAATCTTAGCGAGGCCCAACTCTTCTCATTTTCACACACTACTTTATGGGCAAGGTTTGTTTTACTCCTTTTTCTGTGTGTTGGCTCATTCTCCACAGCTCAGAGATTGACAGTGGTGTGCATCAAGAAAACAATCTGCATTTTTACAGCTTCTGTGAAGCTGAAACATCTCAAAGCGCTTTACAAAAATGACTATCATGTAACTTATTTGTAAACAAACCCAGTAACCTTTGTGTACCACAGCAAAGTCCCACCAGCAGCCACGAGGCCAGTGAAAGATTTTTCTGGAGCGTTGTCGGCCACAGTGATCCCTGCTGGAAGATGTGTCATTTGTTGGGAGTAGGGAGACTTCCCGTGAGAGTTGTGGCATGCTCTGCATGTAGAACAGCCACTTGGCAAGAGCATTGGGAAGCAGCCACTGACCTGCAGAACTGTTACCGAAGCAGAAGCTTAAAGCATTCAGGAGCAGTGAGAAATCTAATTTAAAATGGAGTCCTGTAGCATAGTGGTTAGAGCGCTCGCCTTGCAAGCGACAGGACACGGATTTGATTTCCGGGTAAAACCTTAGGAAAGTTTCCTTACTCCACACTCCTCTGTTTACCTAACAGTAAGTAGGAAGCCAGTCATTAGTCGATTGATGGATTGCGTTCCAGGGATAACAACACCCCCCGCCAACAAAAATTTGATCACTCAATCCACAACTGTTTGCGGGACACTGCTGTGCGCAATTGGGCTGCCGTGTTTCGCCACAAAACACACAGTCAATATACAACAGATTCTGTGAAGTGCTTTGAGACATTTCAACTAAGTGATAAGGCACTATATCAAATGCAAGGATTATTATAATATAAAATAAAGATTGATTTTCTTCCCCCCCCCATACCAGTTCCATAATGATTTGGAAATCCTGAAAACATGGCTAATGGTCAGAATAAACTACATCTGTGCTCTCACACATTGCTTGATATTAGCAACACACAGTCTGGCAATGACTTTCATTAGTGGTGACACAGAAGGAAAAACGTCTGACCTGTGGCTAAGGTATGATACTTATTTTTGTAAATTTTTCTATTTTTTTGGATTATGTGGGTAATAAGCTGCCTCGAGCAGTGTTTAGTTGGTTCCTCTGGCAGAAAAATTGCTGAATTAGACTGAATTATTTATGCTTTTGGCCATCTACATTTTTAATTTTTGGTTTGTTTTATTTTGAAAGATTATAAATTGTTTCTGACCGGCTCTGTGTTTGACAGCTTCTGTTATAAAGCTAAGCCTCTGCTCTATTCACCAGGAAAAGCTTATTACTACAGTACATCCAATCATACAGACAATGGCACCAACAGCTGTCTCAGACTGGAAATAACTAACAATATCCCAGTAAATGGTCAGCTGCACACACTCGTTCTGGAGCCTTATTTTGTACAAGCTCCAATAGAAAATACAATGCAAATTTACATTTATACAGAGCCTTTCATATCGATGACCGAAGGCACGGACAAAGAACGTATTGAGAAGGACCTTGAAAAAGGTGAGGGAGGTGGCAAGTAGAGGGTTCTCCGAGATGAAGTTCCAAAGAGTGGAAGCAGATAGACTGATAGTTAATCATTAAGTACAGCTTAAACTTTTTGTGTAATACCTACATTGTGTAATATGTACATTACATTTTTTATACGTCTATTAGAAGCCATTATTTAGCAATCAAATTGTTTTCTAGCTTTTTCTGGCTCTCCAAATATGGACCTGAAGATATCAATGAGATCAACCTTACACATTGCCCAGTTCAGTAATTATAATAACATAATAATCCTTGCATTTGATATAGTACCTTATCACTTCGTTGAGACAGACTCATTTAAAAAGCAGCTCGATGCTGTGATGGGGAGAGACAATGCAGATTCATAGATGGAATCATAGATAGATGTACACGATTGAGCAACCATACACAATATATATGATATATTTCAATAGATTACTAAAAGTAAATTTGCCCATGCTTTATTCATTGTGGTTCCTTCACTACACATGTAATGTCATTGTTGTCTCGTCTCTTTGCCTGGTTCTTCATCAGGGACACCTCCTCCAGTAAAACTGCTCCCAACTGGGACTCATTACTCAAGAATCCTGGGATGCAAAGTACTATTGCGATCAACTACTTTGAATAATGTATTGCACTTGGGGCCATTCTAACCATTCCATTCTTTTTGATATTAGAAGCCATGACAAAAGCAGGCACGGCAAATAAATGGAAGCGAATTGATAGTAAGCGGAAGGCCTATAAAGGAGAAAGTACATTCACATGATGGATGAAGTTTGCCACGCTTCACAATGTAAGTTAATTGTTTCTCGATCTATAAATCTTTCTTCAAGTGCGATTGTTTAAAAAAAAATTACTGGCACATCTTGAATCATCTATCAACTAATTATGGAGCATTACATTAAAAAGCATTTTTTTTTTACGAAGTGTAAGTTTCACATCTGAAGTTTCACTGTTGTTATGCTTGTGCAATACATGAACAAAGGGAATCGATCAGTTTTTAATCCAAATGCTGCTTACCTATCAAGTTCCCCTTGGCACTGTAGGAGCCCCAGTAGGCCGATTCTGTGTTGGGAGTGTGACACTCGTATTGCCCAGCATCTTCAGGTTGTAGGTTTGTGATGTGTAAAAGCACTGAGTCTCTGTCAACTCTCTCAATGTAGATCTCTTTATTTTGCACTCTGTTTCCATACACCGCGTAGGGGAAGGTAGGGTCATTAGTGCTGATGATCTGGATTTGTCTTTCCGGGGCAGAAGGAAGATAGATCGACCACTCGAAGTTCTGCTGTGTTGAGCCTGAGTATCCGCTCACATTACACAGGATGGTTATGTGATAACCTTCGGCTCGGACCAGGGGGCTTTCTTGTACTTGCACAAGTCTTTGAGCAGTACAGACACCTGGAAGAGCAACACATACATGCACAATGTTAGAAAACAGGCATTATCCACACAAGCAACACTTCAATCACAACTGCACCTTTAACAACTGTTAGGGGCAATCTTAATAGACTGTTGGAATCAAAGCTAGAATTGTTTTGCAGGTAGTCAAACTCTTTTCATCTCACTTAACTTAATAAAGGTCTATGGAATGCTGCCAGAATAGGTCATGAATAATGTGAGCAAAGTAACCAGTTACAAAGAGAGCAAGAGAAGCTTGCAATTTTATAGTGTCTTATAATGTTGAAATGTCTTAAAGTGCTCTACAATGTGTAACCATTCAGCAAACGCGGTAACCATTTGCCTCAGCGACGTTCCACAAACAACTGCATTTTCTTGTCAAACAACTTCATAGAATCTTTAATACCCTCCTGAAGAAAAGGCCTTTGGGACTTCAGTTAATGGCTTTTGCAAATACCAACATCTGGCACTGCACTGGAGTGCTGGCTCAGACAATGAGCTGAAGCACGGTAGATGTAGGGCTTGAACTCACAACCTTCTGACACTAACTCAGTGGTAATTAATGCTGAAATATGGTTGAGTTTATGCTGTGAATGCACACTTACTGAGAACTAGGTTGAGCCTGCCCAAACACAGTTCGTATTGGAAGGATCCTTACCCCATAAGAGAGAGAGACTTTTATCCCAGATTTTAGAGATGGATGGTTAGTGATCAACCTTCTGCAGTGCATTGTACAATCTGTTATTAGAAGTCAGTGGGATTGATTAATTGAGCGAGACAGATAGCCTTTTAAACTTCATGTTAATTTAGTGTGTGTGGAAGGGGCAAGGATTATGTTTTATGTTGGTCAGGGTGGAAACGACACATGAATTTATCACAGAATCTGGAGGTTCTCCAGTTGTGTGCTCTGTTGCAAAGGTTTATTTGTATTCTCAAAACGTTAAGATTCAGAGCACCGTTAACGTGTGTGTGATGAATGAATTCATCCCTAGTGTAAATATTTCTTCAATTGGATACTGTTTTTTTCTCTGCAAGTAATCACGTTTAGGATGCCGACATATGTATGACAGCATCACAACTGTCTGACAGTTTCCCCTGCCTCCTCTGCCCATTGGTGTCATCCGCCACCCTGACTGAAATCTTCTAAACAAAGTGGCCTCTCTGACAGCAATTAAATTAGGATTTCATCCATGCAGCAGAATCCATTCTGAGATCTGAGCCGCTGGGTAAAAGGGGAATAGCTCTCCACATCGGGAAGGCACCAAATACCTGGAGCTTCTTCTGTCCGTGGCTATAAATGAAATGCACATTATTGGAAGCTTAGAACTCATTTGAACAGCAATGTAAAAAAATTACATTTAGAAGCAACAGTGATGGATGAAGCGCAAGATTCTCTGCCTCACAGCTGACATTCAAACTCACATTATTTACAGTGAGTGAGTGAGTGAGTGAGTTTCACCGGTACTTGGCTGGGCTGGGAGATGGATGACCTCACACAGTATTTGAGCACTCTGCATTAAAGACATGAAAAATTAACAGGGGGAGGAGAGGCTTCATCCAGCGCACTATTATCTATCTGTTTATAAGGTTTCCTCTTGTCTTGCCATCCCTTGCCTCCTTCAAGGCACAATCAAAACCTTACTTTTCGACCGTACCTTCTTCCCTCCTCCTTCCCCTTGGCCTCAGCACTCTCTGATCCCAACCTGCAGCTCAGGTGTAAACCCCTCATTGCCAGTGCCTTGGGCCATCTTCCTGATGTGAAAGGAGTTATATAAATGCAATTTGCTCTTGTTGTTACTCTTAAGAGGTTACTATTATTTTGTTAACGCAAGTTCCAAGGAACTAACTACTAAAATAAGGTTTTATACTTGTAGTAAATAGTTTATTAAAAATATTAGTTTAAAAAAAGCCCAGAATATGAGGCAGCTCGATGTTCCTTTAATTTTCGCTTCAATAAACTATATAAGTCAATACAACTACTGTACTGTGACCAAAGGGAATTGAGTAGGAATTCTTCCCACTCAGCTCCTATTAACCCTGCAAGCCAAACTCCTGATGGATTGGGAGGTCCTAGCTGGACAAACAGTGGGAAAGCTTGCCAGACAATGCTCTCAATGTGGTTTTTTGCCTGCAAAATATACAGTCAATTCACTTTACAGTATATTCCGTAAAACGCTTTGAAACGTCTCAATGACGTGATAAGGCGCGATAATCAAATGCAAGGATTATAGATTAATTATTTTAGCTGGTTAGACTCCAGCAGTACCCCAACACACTCTGGGGTCTCCAAAACTTGGCTCTTACCAACCTGCACTAATGCTTTCCGGAATTAATTAAGATGGATGTATCCCTCCAGGGTGAGAATGCACATTCCATTCTAATAAACATCTTGTTTCGGATTGGATACTCTTACGCATGGTCATGGTTCCTGCACGTGTCAGACACTCTGCTGACTAAATAAAAAGTGCTGTGGCCAAAGAGAACTGGGTCATCATAACAACGCAATGAAAAGATTCAAGTACTTTTAGTGATCTGTGTAATATAGTCCTTAATATTCAACCCTAAACACAGAAGCAGTTCCTCTCCATCTGAACATGTTTCATTGTGTGGAGTTCCTCAACGGTAGCTACCGCTACTTAAATAATGTCAGAAACGTGTGCGGGATAGAGAGAGAGGAATAGTTATCTTGAATGAGCAGTTGGTTCCTGCATGCACAGGAAGCTCGTCAGTTCACTCCAGAAATGTAGCACAATTTCAGCAACCCCAGTGCAAAGGATAAGTGAATTCACACTCGAAAAGTGTTTAATAGCAACGTCACTCTGTAACACTAAAATAAGTGGGTTGGATGATTCAAGACCTCCCAACCCACCATAGGGGAATGGGCCCAGTGTGATTCACAACTGCATTATTCTTAATGCAGTGTGTGAGTCCCATACTCTTGAAAGCACCTCCTCCAGGTGGTGTTATGAGCAACACTCGTCACAATTTGTACTACCTTAGCCTCCATTCTCACCACATGTTTAACGGCTGTCCAAATCACAATCAATTTGTCATCAAGTCTTTAAGCGCTCTGAGACACAAGAAGCGTCCTATGTAAATGCAAGGTGTCGTCGTCGTGAGCACCGAATATAAACCCACTTAACAACTTACATTTATGTAGTGCCCTTCACTCAGGGTAGTGCCCCAGAGCACTTGACAGTGGTGGAGTCCGACCCTGACCATTCCACTTTATAAAGAACTGCTTCTCAATGCCTGTATTAAAATTGCTTTTCACACCGCTGAACATGCCCTTTCATCCTACTCCCTTGGTGTATCTGAAAGCACTGTTTTGGGTTTACTATTCTATCCGATTATCATTTTATGTAGTTCAGTAATGTCCCCTTTGACCAGTCTCTTTTTGAGGATGAAGAGCCCTGGATTATGCAGTTATTTCTCACAGCTCATTCCTCTTTAACACTGGGGATTAGCCTCGTTGCTCTCCTCTACACACTGCCTCTAGAGCCTGGGCAGCCGCCTTATGTTGCAGTGACCAAAACGCCTCATTAAACAAGAATTAATCAACTTCCCTCTGGAATAGTTTCACACAAGTGACCAGCGACTACACCAGGTGGCATCCTATAATTTCTAAGTGGAAAATGATTTGAAAACCATACATAGGGCAGGAGATGCAAATGATTTATATCAAACATCTCTAAATATAGAATACTTAGCTTTTTGTAAATCCTGTAAATCCTCAACTACTGTACTAATACACTACATCCACGAGTGGTATTTGTGTATATCAGGAAACAGTCACATGGACTCTGTATACAATTGCAAGTCTTGTAAACATTCCCTCCCCAGCCCTGCCAAACTCCCCCAGCCCCCTGTGATAAGGCGCTGTATCAAATTCAGTTATTATTACTCCCTCCTCCTCCTCTTGCCAGTCATTGACTAGGCCTTGCACAGGTGGACACCATTTCTGCGTTAGCCTTGACAGTGTGCACTGCAGGTTATATGACCATGATCATAACTGAGCATCGAAGCTGACCCTGATCCTATCATCCTATGTCACACCTGAGATCACACCTGAAGACCCTCTTTTCAACTGTGTCTATGGACACCTCCTCTTTCTCCCCGGTTCGGTGTCAAGTTCCACCATTAAGTGCTCCGAGACAGTATCCTGCATGAAGGGCACTATATGAATGCAAGTTGTTGTTCCCTGCACAACCTTCAGCAGGGGGCACCGGATGGCAAGGAGTGATGGGTAGCAATCAGTGGTGGGAATCCTGCCTTTCCCCTCCACTAATACAAACAAGTTTGTCGAATAATCCCTCATCTAAAACAATGTATTCCCTTCATGGCTGTTTGTAGGAGATTGCATCGTGCAAAATTGGCTGCTTTGTTCACCTATAAAATACACACTGCCACATCGTATTACAGTATATCCCGTGAAGTGAGGCATTTCAATGACGCGATAAGGCACTATATCAAATGCAGGGATTATTATTACAAGGATTATTAATTCTAACACCCTCAAGTACTGGCCTAGATAATATCAACTAACAGCAGACTAGAATTTGAACCTGTAACCTTACCCGCATCACCTAGTCTCCTACGCCTAGAAACTCTCTGAAAATCCTTCTAGTTATATATTCATAACACAGCAAAATAACCTCTTAAATTCTCTGTAATTCGGCATCTTGATATAGCACCTTATCGCACTTCTCAAAGCGCTTCACAGAATATACTGTAAAGTGAATTGAATGTATATCATGTGGGCGAAATGTGGCAGCCAATTGTGCACAGCAGTGTGTATTGTGAAACAGTCATGGATTGAGTGACCACATTTTTTCATAAAAGGAATAAAACCCTTGCTTTAAACTCCCAGAAAAGCGATCGTCAATCAAATGACAACCAGGTTCCTACTTACTGCTAGGCACAAAGAGAGATGTGGAGCGAACAAACTTGCCCAACGTTTAGCATTGCCGCGACTCGAACCTAGGTCCTTTCGCTTGAGA